ATATATATATATATATATATATATATATATATATACATACACTGTTTTTTACACTTTGTGGTGAACTATTGCATTAATGCATGAATTGCAAGCTGAGCTTTAATGTGTGTGCATTGTTAAAAATATAATTTGCTTTCAAATGAAGGCGATTTTCCTTTTTCATTCATCACTAGTATAGAGCCTATTGCTTTGTGTTTTCTCCTCAGGTGAAGAGGGAACTAGCTGGTGTTCTGATATTTGAGTCCCATGCCAAAGCAGGCACAGTGTGTAAGTGTCAAAACATTACACCACAAACCTGCTAACTTCACTCACAAAATGAAGTCAAGCCATTCAGAACTAACCAGCTTTAAATGAGTGCTGAGTTTAGATCTTAGATTATTTGACTAATATGTGTCTGTGTTCTGCACAGAGTTTGATGCTCATTATCGATCTCTTTTGTTCCTAGTGTTTAATCAAGGGGAGGAGGGCACGTCATGGTACATCATCCTGAAGGGCTCCGTTAACGTGGTGATCTATGGAAAGGTCAGACTAGTAATTCCCCACTAATGCTTCGCTTTCAACAGACTAATTAAGCGTTTGATGTGTGATAACGCAGACCAGCTAATCGCTCTCAAGCCAATTACAGTGCATGCAGACTGTGCCAGGAAAGAGTGTGTGCAAATTGAATTACAGCTGGAAGATGTTTTTCTTTGCTGGTTTGTGTGGGTCTCGTCTGGTTGCAGGGTGTCGTTTGCACGCTACATGAGGGAGATGACTTCGGGAAGCTGGCTCTGGTGAATGACGCACCTCGGGCAGCGTCTATCGTACTGAGAGAGGACAACTGCCACTTCCTGAGAGTGGATAAAGAAGACTTCAACAGAGTCCTCAGGGTCAGCGCGCATTATTCACAACAAAACAAAGTGCTTTGTCATATACTCTACACTGTAAAAAGTGCTAACCTGCAATTGCTACCCTATAAATGTTGATTTGTTGGTGTAATATCTGAATAATAAAATAACAATTAAAAAAACAACAAAAGCTGATTCGGTGATGTTAAATAGTACTTTGGACTAAATAAAAAATTAAATAAATAAATATAAAATAAAATAATGTGCTTTTGTTAGATCTAAATGAACTAGTTTTATTTATGATGTATAATATAATGTATTAAAATAGTTTGTAGACAAAACTAAATTGTCCAGTGTTAGTAGAGATTTATATACTATTATAGTATATATATATATTGATATTTAGCTTTTACTTTTATATTTTCGGTTTTTATCTTCATTTAGAATTAATTTTTATTAGTTTTATTAGTTTTTATGTGCTTTATTTTATTTCAATTTTAGTTTTGGTTTACAAAATTTCAGTACTTCAACTTTCAGGTCGTTGGCCAAATCAACAGTTCATCAACAGTTTTTCATCTAATATTTATATTTTATTTCAGCTTTCTTTACCAGTTTTAGTTATAATAATAGCAATGACAACTACCATTGTTATTTTAGTATCGGTTTTTGAACACTTTTATATTTTCTGTTTTCACATTTTATAGTTTTAGTAATTTTGTTGTGCTTTGTCATTTTAATTAGGTTTTTTTTTTGTCTACATAGTTATTATTTATATGTATTAGTTTATTTAGCTTTAAAGTGCTTCGAGCTGAAATAAGATATCTTTTTTCATATATATTTTTTTTTT